GGACTACAGGCGCCCGCCACAATGCCCGGCCATTTTTTGGTTGCAGCCATCATTGTTGTTTGGCGGGCCCAGGCTGGGGATTCGAACCTGCCACCTTAGGTGTATGTGGCTGGCCCCTTAGCCTCTTGAGCTACAGGCGCCGAGCCTAAATAAGCATTTCTTGAGTACTTTCTATATATGCCAGGCACCGTGCTAGGCTCTTGACCTAGATTAAGGAGCAAGAGAAACTAGATCTCTACTGGCCTGGCACTTACAGTCTAGAAGGGGAAGCAGAAAAACAAGAAAACAGGTAAGATAATTACAGATTGTGGTAAGTTCTCTGAAAGAAACATAAGAGTGATGACTAAGAAAAACAGTACCTATTCTGGCAGGGTGGAGAAGATCATTATTCACATTGTGTACTTTGCATGTCAACCCACAACCCAGTCTACATAGCACACTCCCCCCTCACTGCCTCAGATAGCAGTTTCTCTCCTCAGGAGCCAGTGATTCTCATTCCTGATGGGTGGCTGAACCCTGGTCCCAATTCACCTCCTTGCCCCCATGTCCCTCACACCCACACCAGCCATTCAAGGATCCATCTAGCCATCTATCCAAGGGGCAGTCCTCACTAATTACAGTGTTCTGAAATACTGGCTTGCCAGCCTTTCATTAGCAGAATGCAGGCCCCTCCCAAGTCTCCTCCCACCTGGCCCCTGTGCCCTCTTCCTCTCTTCTCCCCTGCAGACCCAAAGGTGCTTCTGCCAAGCTGTTATCAACAAACATTTATAAAGCACCTGGTGCCAGGCATTGTGCCAGGTGTTTGAGATATGTGAGTGAATGAAACAGACAACAATCTCTGCCCTCTTAGGGCCTATGTGAGTCAGGAAACTACAAACAACACACAAAGAAGTAAAGCACAGAACAGATCAGAAGCTAGGTGCTGCAGAGAAAGATGAAGCGGGGAGGAGGGGCTAGGAGTGGGGATGGGTGGTAAGTGGCAAGTTGAAATAGAGAGGTCAGGAAAGACCTCCCTGAGAAGGAGTCACTGTGTCTAGAGCTGAGGGAGAGAGAAAGGGAGGATATTCACCTGCAGAGGGGGGGATGCAATAACAAACACAGACTTTTTTTTTTTTTTAGTAATTTATAGGGTTTTTTTTTTTTTGAGACAGAGCCTCAAGCTGTCCCCCTGGGTAGAGTGCCGTAATGTCACAGCTCACAGCAACCTCCAATTCCTGGGCTCAAGCGAGTCTCCTGCCTCAGCCTCCCAAGTAGTTGGGACCACAGGCGCCCGCCACAATGCCCAGCTGTTTTTTTTTTTTTTTTTTTTTGGTTG